CTTCCTTATATCGCGCCAAGTTTATCAAATGTCCCTCCTCCTAAGGGACGACTATAAGATATTCTACAACTAATATCTCGGGTTTACCTTTTGATCGGGATAAATGTATAATGCCATATTTAATCAAAACATAAGTAATCGAGCTAAAATCGAGACCTTATCGTAATTCACCGTTGCATCCCTCCGAGCGACCTCCTTTTGCATCATCGTGTAAACTTAAGCATGTACCCTTCCCGATCCTAGTTTTGGTGCTTGAGGGAAATTATGGACGACGTGTCCTTGCTTGTGAAAAACATAGCAAGTTCTCCAATCCGGTCGGTACTCTCCTACATGGAACTTTTCACACTTATTAGACCAAGGTTGGTTACCCATTATTGGTTTCGTCTAATGACCCGATGGCGGCCTAGGAATGTATGGTACTGGTATGTCGGTTCGTACATTTCCTTGATCTCCATCTTGACTAAAATTCCTAGGCGGGGATAGCCTTAATGGTTCGGAAAAAGAGGCTTTCGACTTGAATGTTAATTTCTTCTACTGCACTTCTTTCATAATTTCTTTCGATTCTCATCCGTTAACATCGTTTTATCTACCATTTTCAAAAAAGTGCTAGCGGTAGACATTTGTACTATGCTTCGAACTTTTGGGTTCAAACTTCGCTAAAAATTGATTTCTTTTTAAATTTTCATCCCTAGCGATGAATGGGGCGAATCGACATCCTTGTTCAAATCTCCGTATGTATTTACCTATGGACATCCCATCTTGTTTTAATTCAAGAAATTTTTTAATTTTCTTCGCCCTCACGTCCGTCGTAAAGTATTTATTGTAGAAGACCTCCTTAAATCCTTCTCGAGTTAAGGTAGGTAGGTCCACTCGTCAATCATGCGCTCTCCCACCATGTGCGGGCATCCTTCGTTAGCATAAAAATGGCACACGATACTTGTCATCGTTGATAAATTACGAGTATTTAAATATCGCTTTTAATGACTTAATACATTCCTTCGCTATCATTAGGTTAGCACCCTTGAAGAATTCATGAGGACTCATCTTACGAAACTCGACCATGTCATTCCTATACCGAGGTGGTAAAGATAGAGGTCTGTTGATGCATAGCTAGGAGCTCGTCTCATTTGTTTCGCATGGTCTTATTGTTGTTATCGCATTACTTGTTATTGTTGCTTGCATCATGTCTATCATACGACTTAAAACATCCTATTGATTTCTATTTTGATCATTGGAGGTCCCTTCACCTCCTACTCGTGCTCGGCTCTTTTCTTGGCATGCTTTGATTTTGTACATGCCATGTTATGCTCATGTTAGTTTTGGTACCGAAATCAACATATAGTGTCAATCATGTAAGTACGTACTAGATTATACATATGTATCATATATATTAAGCACTTCGTACAAAACAAACATTTACAAGCATTTTCCCTCCTAAGGGTTTCCATACATATTGACAACCAAAAAGGTACTCTTATCTACATAAAAAATCGTACAAAATTACTATGTTGCACATTATATATTCCTTGTAGTATATCTAACATGGAACATTAACGTATCGGACACGTTAGGCAAAGACGCCCTTTACCCACCACCAGTTGATAACATCAATCGATGTGGTAAGTGCTATCTCACGAGCAATGCCTATAGGTAGACCCTAATTATACATGATTCGGGTAAGGGTTCGTATAAATTACATCGGTAGGAAAGCTCGAATCGGGTTTTGGTAGGAATTACGATCTATTTGACTCACCCATACCTCATCTAGCAACTATTGGTCCCTCGACATGAGAGTTCGATGTATGGTCGTCCTCATAAAATCTAAGCTGTGATACTATTCAAACGTGACGTCGGCAAATACTATTTGTTAAATCGGGTCATGTACTCTATTGACATGGGTCACTATATCCCGATCTATCATCATAGTGAGGTTATTTAGTTCCACCCAATAAACGGCTAGAGAGGCCCTCCGTCCGCGGGTCCTAACAACTCGGGGAACACGTCATATATATGGCATCTACAACGAGAATAATTACGATTTTCATTAATTTCTAGGTTATGATCAATACTAATTCGAATACATACAACCATGACATACATTTATTAACCGAATAAAAATAATGAATCATTCTTTTACCGTCCGAAGCGTATCGGTCCACAGTGCTCATGTGACACTTAAGACACTACTCGACTTATGAAACCAAGGCTCGATACCACCATATGACACCCCTATCCCGGTCCACTCTCTATTACCCGAATAGGGGTGGCCGAGCAAAGAGCGTGTCCCGCCGACACGACCAATTTTCAAATTAACCTCAAACGCGATGTGGTCATACACGATGGACTTATCACGCGATGAAACGCATACAAGATAATTTACATAATATTAATAAATACAGCAGAAGAAATTAAAATTTATTTACAATACCATCAAAATGTTTATCGACACTCCATCCTTAAAAATTACAATCAAAAGAAATTTCGTACAATTGTGTCACACGTGAGCCTTTTTGGAGGATCCGACGAGCATCCTTATCGGTATTATTGTCGCTTTTACCCGTCATGGCATGCAAGAACAAATAGGGTGAGCCGAAGCTCAATAAGTAGGGCAATGCATGTATTATGCAATGTTTTTCCGCATGCCCCCACTATTCTCATCAATTTGAAATTTTAAGGGTACCTTGGATATTAGTAAGTACGCTCTATTCTCAATTATTGTCGAATAACCTCAACAATCATTTATCGCTAAATAACTTTAGCAATCGGTTATTGCTGAATAACCTCGGCAATCATTTACTACCGAATAACCTCGACGAATCGATTACTATTGAATAACCTTAGCAAGCGAGTTCAATCCATTTCCGAATGCATATGATACACGTGAAGTTACATTTATCTTGTTAAACACCCTATAGGTGTCATAACCTAGACTATCAAATCATTCTCAAGATCCAACCCACATAGGATTTTTGATATATTCCCATATCACTTCCATAATATTTCCCTCAAGGAAAATCAATTACCATTGACTCGTATTAGTTAAGTCATAAACTTGATGTTGCACGTAGGCACTTTCCTCCCATTAAATTTAGCAAGTATCATCGTACAATTCATCCTTCACTTGACGTATGTAATTAGTAGTATTTTAAACCGAGTTAAACATACTAAGGTGACATTTTCTCTTCGAACCCAAATTGGGGCATTTTTAGGTCGAATTGGGCTTTTAAATGTTCTAGGTCAAAATTTCGATTTACCTAGCAATTTTTTTCTTTTTTTCCTATCTAAAAATCTTCTTATACTTATTAGGGTGTATTCAAACCATTAATTATAAAATTGAAGGATTGGAATCCAAATCCTCACGAGTTTAGGGTTTAAGCCGAATAGGTCCTTAAAGTGGCCAAAGATTACTTTTATTTTTTCATCCCAACTTACTAATGTATACCTAATTAAATTATACTTGAGTCCTATCCCCTTAATTTCATAAAATGGGTCCAATCTTATTCATTTTCTTACTTAGGCCGAAAGAGTTCTTGAGTGAAACCCTAGGAATTCATTTTTCCCTCCTTTTCCAATTTATGGTTTATTATAAGGCGACTTCTAATCAAGTAGGCAACGTACCAACTTCGAGCATAATTAAATTCTATCCTTTTTTTATTTAAAATTAGACATAATTATGTATAACATATACAAAAATTAGGTTTAAATACCAAACACACAATTCATAACATCATTTTGAAGTTTAAGATTCAATCTGTTCAGCGAGTAGTTCATCCAACACAATTTGTACTAAAATGGGCATAAATTTTTCTATATAAACCTAATAATAAAAATATTTTATAGGGAGTTATTCAAGATATAGATAAATAACTTTTATTCTTTGAGGTTCACCCAAAAAGCACCCTAAGGTCCTTGAACGAGTAACACCAATTTCGGACAAAAATTGATCCTAAATAACACTTATTTAACCATTCGAGTCCAACGCACCTTAACCATGTTTTAGTCCAATTAAATTTCAGTCCAAGTCCAATCCGACTCATCATCACATACTTGGATATGCACTAGGCATTATAAACATCACAATTCATCACCTACACAACATCCACAAGTAGAGCAAGCCAAGGCATCAAACGACCACCAACACAAACCAAGCTCAACAATACATCAAACAACTCAACCAATACATAACTCAAACATATAAAAATGGACATGTAAAAGCATAAATAAACCAAATAAACCTACTTACATAGCTTAGATGTGGTTGGATTTTCTTAGATTTTCTTTCTTTTTCTCTTCCTCTCTTGTTTACTCGTTTCTCTCTCCAGCTTTGGTGGCTACGGTACGCCTAAAAATTTCTTATCATTTGCACTCTTTCTATATATATATGTACATGCTTAAAGTCTTGGTCTAAGTAAGTGTACAAATGGCTGGATTTAATTTGGAAGAGTGGAAAGTTAATGGTGAGTCATGAGAGAGGTGGCAGATTTAAGAGGGTTAGAGTGTGCTTGGCCTTAATTTATTTAATGCATTGCTTAGGTGTCTAACAAAAAAATTTAGGTTAAATATACACCCTAATTAAATTGATTTAAGTAAATAAACATAGTTTCATTCATGAAATTTTGGAAATTTCTTTTCTTAAAACTCAAAAATTCCTTGTCCATTCTTTTCTCAAAAAATTCCAACGAGTGATGCTTTATGACCAACCTATACTAAAATGGACATAACTTTTTATATATAGGTCTAAAAATCATGAAAGTTTACAGAGAGCTAGTAGATACATATATAAACAACCTTTATGCTTTAAGTTTTACCCAAAAAGTACTCTAAAGCTCTCAAATAAATCATACAAAATTCGGACAGAATGTAGTCCTCGAGCACATCGATTGTGATATACATATATATATATATATATATATATATATATATATATATATATATATATGTATGTATGTAGTATGTATGTATGTATATTAATTTTTTTTTTATGGGGGTTACATTTCAAGCTCAAATTTCCAAGGATGATTGTGCCAAAAAGGAGGTTGACAAGGCTGAACAAATCAATCAGATGTCTAATGAAAACGTTAACAAAGTTGTTATCTTTAGCGATGTTGTAAACGTCAAAATTTTAAACAATGAAATCAATAATGTTGCTGCAATTTCTGAAAAAGATAATGTCTAGGATGAAAAGAATAACGAGGTCGGCTTTATGGGTATTAAGAACACTCAAATTTTTAGTCATGATGATGACTATGCTACTGCTGATAAAGAGTTAACCAATGGTGATTACAAGCCCAAAGTCAAGGCATCCAAATTCAATCTTAATTTAAAAGAACTAGTGCTCGAGAAGAAGTTGGAGAGTATTAAACAAGAAGAGTCTATGTTCATTAAAGACTTGGCAAAACAATAAGAAGAGCAAAAAAAGGATGAGTTTAATAATCTTGTAGTTATGCAAGAAGAGGAAGACAATAAGAAGATTACGGATGTGTAAGAGAATATATCATATATTGAATTCGTCTTTCTAGAGGAGTCCAATGGCAACAAAATCAAACTTGAATTTTTCTAGCCATTATTTTTTTATATTTTACTTGTTGGTATATACATATGTTTTTGATACTTTATTATTATAAGATTCGATGATGAGTGTTCTCCAACCAAGAGAGTATGACGAGCATCAAAACAAAGATTCTAGGACGAATTCTTTTGAGGAAAGTGGGAATGGTGAGAATAAGAAAAGTTAAGGTCTGTATTGATGTAATTAGCATAACATATGGATTTTCTTTATTTTGGCATGTTTTAAATTTTGGCGAGTTAGGAATAAGTTATTCTCCAATATCTTAAGAGATTCCTCTATTTTAGGGATTGGGACATAATTAGGTTGCTAGGGTTTTATGTTATTTTAGCCTATAAAGAGGCTTTGATATGTATGAATTTTGGAGCTTTTCATTTCAATAAAAGAGAGGTATTTTCACCTTGGTTCTCTTAAGAATTTCTGAACCTATTAAGGACTAATCATTCTTATGGTGTTCATCCTTCAAACTTATGAAGAATCTAATCGATTCTTAAGGCATTTATAAACTTATCACTTTCCTTCTATCTATTCTAGAGTATGGCATTAATATCTTTCAATCCGAATCGATTTGGCTTTCTTGGGATTCGTCCTTCTTGTTCATAAGTTCTTTAGCCATCGAGCTAGGTGGGTTCACATCAAACTCTATCTAAACCTACCATCTTTTCCAAAGAAACAAACTGAAGAGTTAAGATTTACTTATCCAAAAAATGACATTGATCATCGAAAAAAATGAGAATGCTTAAAAATAACAACTTTTTGTTTTCATAAAATCAGCAGTTTAGTGAAAAATATCACCCCAAGAGGTTTATAATAACCCTTGCAATATGATTTATAGGTAAAAATTGCTAGAAAACACTCCCACAATCTATCAAAAACTACTATTATAAAAAACATAAAGAAGAGGATAAATAACACAATAGAAATAAAAGCAAAATTAAGAGAAAAAAGAGTCTCTTTTGCTATTTATAGGCTCAAACATACGAGCTCTAATCCTAAATCACCAAAAGAAGCCTCTGCTTACATGGCAAGCCTAATATAATTCATTCATTTCAAACATTGTTGCCTAGTCCATCATTTTAGGTAGGGTGTCTAACATCCTCTCATTTTAGACATTGTTGTCTAATCCATCGTTTTAGGCAAGATTGCCTAGTGATGATTTTTATTTCAAGCATTACTACCTTATTTAATTTATCATTTCAAGCATTGTTGCTTAATTTAATTCATTCATTTCAAGAATTGATGCATAATTAGTTCATCATTTTAGGTAGGGTTGTCTAGCGATAATCTTTCATTTTAGGCAAGGTTGTCTAACATAATCCATCATTTAGGTAAGATTACCTAGCAATAATCTTTCATTTTAGGCAAGGTTGCCTAACTTAGTCCATTGTTTAAGTAGGACTTATTTAGTGATAATTTTATTTTAAGCATTGTTGTTTAGTTCACTAGTAAAAGGCATATTACCTCCGACAAGAAGACCACCAATAGAGGGGTAGGTTGCCAAACATTGTTGTTTAGTTCATCGAGTAGAGGGCATGTCGGCTATGACAACAAAACCACCAATAAAGGAGTAGGTTACCTATGATAAGAAGACCATCGGTATGAGGCAAGGCCCATGACAACAAGACCATTAATAGGGGGTAAGTTATCGATTACAACAAGACCACCAATAGGGGGTAGGTCGCCCGTGATAACAAGACCATCAATAGGGGATAGGTCGTCCTTGACAATAAGACCATTAGTAAGAGATAAGTTACCCATGAAAATAAGACCAACAAGTATGAGGTAGGTCACTCGTGACAATAAAACCATCAATAAGAGGTAGATTGTTAGTAACAACAAGACCATCGATAGGGGATAGATCATTCGTGATAACAAGACCAATCTCTTGTGATAACTAGATAATCAATAGATGACGAGTCATTCGAGACAATAAGACCATTAGTGGAAAGGTGGGTCATCCGTAACAATAAGACCATCAATAGAGGGACATGTCGTATGTGATAATAAGACTACGGTAGGGGATTGGTCGCTTGTGATACTAAGACCATCAATAGGGAATAAGTTATCCATGATAATAAGACCATCAATAAGGATAGATCTTCAATAAACCATTCTTTCAAGCAAGATCGCTTAACAATAAAACATCATCCAAGCTTGATCACCTAACAATAGACCATCATTTTAGGTTCGATCGCCTAACAATATATCATCATTTCGAGTTTGATCATCTAACAATAAATCATCATTTCGGGTAAGATTACATAACAATAGACCATCATGCGAGCAAGATTGCTTAATAATATATCATTATTTCAAGTAAGGTCACTTAATAATAAACCATCATTTCAAGCACGGTAGCCTAATAATAGACCATCATTTAAGCTCTGTCATTTAACAATAAGTTATGATTTCAAACAGGATCACCTAATAATAAACAATAATTCAAGTAGGATCATCGAATAATAAATCATTATTTAGAGTAGGTCGTCCTTAAGAATAAGACCATTAGGGCGGGTTACTTATGAGAACAAAACCAATATTTTAGATACGAGTTGCCTAACAATAGACTATGATTTTGGGATAGGTTGTTAAGAATAAAACCATAAAAAAAGCTAATCGCCCGTGAGAATATAACCAATAAGGTAGCTCGCCCGTAAGAACATGACCAATAAGACAAGTTGCTCGTGAGAACATAACCAACGAGGCAAGTCACTTGTATTTTTCCTCTAAAAATTTTTTCTTTGGAAGCTCATTAAGTAAAGCCAATGAAAAGTTTACATTTCAATCGACTTTGCATCATAAAAATTGTAAAGAAGGAGCAACTATCATAATCTATTTTTGACCCTTAACATTTTTATTTTTATAAAAAATTCAAAAAAAATAAAAAATTGTATGTTACATAGTTTCTTGATCTTTCCATGATTGTTATGCATTTTTATAAATTTTTAGAATTTTAATTTCTTAGGATTATCTCTTCATTTAATTAATTAAATAAAAGAAAATAAAAAAATAAAGGGAAAAAGGAGAATAAATTGAAAAGATGTTTTTGGGTTCAATTGAAAAGGATGTGAGAAACAAGGATCAAATAACATTCAATTAGAGGTAGAATTAAAAGAAATTAAAAAACTAAGGGCCTTGATTGAGAATGAATTAGGATGAAATTAAAAGAACTTAAAAGAAAAGGACTAAATAATTTCAATTATGAGTGTGATTGATGAGGAAAAAAATGAGACAATGACCAAAATTTTAAAAAGTAAAAGATAAAGGACTAAGCTAAATTTTACCTATAATCCTAAAAAAACCCACTATAAAAACCTCATTTTTCTCTCATTTCCAAGGAGCAGACCATTATTCACTCTCTCAAAAAACAAATCCTAGAAGGAGACAATATGTTTTAGAGAAAGAACTAGCCGTTTGCACACACTACGCCACATGTCAAGTAAAACAAAAATTTTTTTAATTTTTAATTTTTTTTAATTATAATATTTTTTTAATTAATTTTTTCTAATGTTTTTATAAATTCTCTGCTTAAAAAAGACATAAATCATTCTTCTTAATGGATTGATCTATATATATTTATATATTAAGTAATCAATAAAATTAGCATAAAAAACAATATTTGAATAATTGGTTGGTTCCTTTAAAAAAATATTTTAATTATTTCATTCTAAATAAATTGGTTTATAATGTTAAAAAAATATTTATAGTAAATAATTTGTATTGTGTTGGAACATGTATAATTAATTTTTAAATTTAGTAATCAATAAAATTAGTATAAAAAATAGTATTTGAATAATTGGTTGGTTCCTTTAAAAAATTATTCTAATTATTTTACTTTAAATAAATTGGTTTTATAATGTTAAAAAAAATTTATAGTTTTTGTATTATGTTGGAAGATGTATAGTTAATTTTTAATAAAACCAACGATTCAATAATTTTTTATAGTCTTGACCATATCTAGTGAATCGAGATAAATTATTTAAAATACAATTTTAATCTTTTAGAATAATATATATATATATAGCTGACCTAAAGGATGTTACCTATTACAAATGTGGACAAAAAGACCATACGGTAAGATATTGTCAAATGAATACCAAATTACAAGAACTTCGTCTTAATGAAGACGTTTATAACAAAATCTCTGCTTTGTTAGTCGACTCCTCCGACCCTTCAGACTACTCGATAGTAAAGAGACTTTTCGGATAGATGAACTTGTTACGTCTTCTAGTTCAAACCCCAGCTTCGATAGTAATCTTGGTAACAAAACCAAACAAGTCGGTGTCTTAACCAAAGACCAATACCTCATTTTAGACATAGTTAAGAGGATTGAAGATCCTCAATGACAAAAGGAATACTTAGACAGACTCTTAAAATCGTAGAAGACAAACCCCGTGACAAACGAAGACAAACCCCATGACAAACCAAAACCTTATATCTTGCCTTCTACTAGTACTAAGCACATATGACCTTACCGCTATCCTAGATAGGAAGAAGAAGACCAAAAAACATATGACCACAATTCAGGACCTTCGATTCGAAATTAAGGTCATCAAAACAGAGCTCAAAGAAAAACAAACTAGAGACTCTAGTCTCTTGAAAACCCCGTTGGAAAAACGAGCGGACAAAGAGTCGGACCCCGACTCGACAACCCCAAAGAAAACCAAGAGTTACCAAACCTTAAAAACCCGGAACACGTTTCAAAACCGAAGTACAAAACTTGTTTTCCCGTTTATTGAAAAACCTAGAATCGGGAATTTGAATATTATCAAATCATGTTCTATTTTTAAAATTAATTCTTTTGTTCTCTCGTGCTCCTTTAGCTTTAGTTTCAAATA